CTATCTATCTATCTATCTATCTATCTATCTATCTATCTATCTATCTATCTATCTAGAAAAACAAGCGCGCGAGAGAAAGAGATAGAGAGAGATAGAGAGCGAGAGAGCGAGAGAGCGAGAGAGAGAGAGAGAGCAAACTCATATTGAAAGAAACTAAACACACGTACTTGTGTCAAAACGCCCATTGTCTGGACTCCTGATAACTAAACATTCATTCCAGTGTTCCCCTAGAACTACGACATATTTGGGTTACAAGTACATACTCTTGTAATTAAGATACATGAATATAATTATGCACTATCACCGACCGGTATCTTATCACCCTCAAACGATAACTTTACTGGGACTCAGAGGGCCGCGGAGAGTCAAGTCCCATAAACCACATCTGTCATGTGGTTGTCATGTTAAGTGGCCATGTGGTGCGTGGTCGTGCCCTGCGATTTTGAGAAGACGATACCTCTTGACACTTCGAACAGGGAAGGCACTATTCGTTCTATTCGAACATTCGTTTTCACAGTGCCGTTAACTGAGCGTGCGATGACACGCACGCAATGTGATACGGTGATGTCATATTGCCAATCAAGATTTTAATGGCTCAAATTTCGAATAAGTGTAAGGGAAACAAGGCCTAATTTCGCCCGTTTACTTTTTCCACAAATTCATCCAACGTATCTCTGCGAGAGTCATGGGCCCTTGAGCTATTCACGATGTGACTAATGAATATTGAATAATGATTAATGCTTATCTTAGAAGCATGTTTTACAACTCTTGTTGGCTCCAATTATCACTTGACTGTCGAAATCATAAAGTTCAAAGTATATTTTCTGTATTTACCACATGAATTTCAGGTATAATGTTCTGTTATATTACTATGGTTAAAAGAAACTGAAATTAAAATCCTTTGTCCTTCACAGCAGGCCAGCATTATCGCACTGCAGGCGAGCCATCGTGTGGTCAAAGATCGTGTCGTAGAAAATACTGGGTGCGGTTACTGAAAGGCATTCAAGTGGCTCCATCACGCTTCGAATAGCTTCGAGTAGCGGAAATCGTGAATATTTGATAGTAAATGGGCACCGCGCAAGTGCTCAGTTTTCATGAGGGACGTTGCCCTTCTAGAACTGGGAGTTAGTTGTTGTGACTTTCATTATCTGTTTTACCCAGATCATATGGGACTACTTACAGTCAACGGATATACACAAACTGTTTGTGTATAGGGTTATACATGTTTCGGTATATGTGTGTGAGAGAGTGTTTGTGTGTGTGTGTGTGTGTGTGTGTGTGTGTGT